CGCCGGAGCGCAGCCCCGCTCCTTCCCCGCGCCTCGTCTCGGGTGTTTTGTTTTGATCCCCGCCGGGCGGCTGTGGGGCGATGCCCCGGCTCCCAGAGAGGGGCGAGCGGGCCCGCAGGCCTCGAGGGTGCGGGCGCAGTCTCTTGGGGCCTGGGGATGTCTTAGGAAAAGGCCCCTTGCGGCAAGTCACAGCTCCCAGCGTTGACGTTTGTCACGGGATTTCCGCGGGGTTGCGAGGGGGGCGCGTAGCAGGTGCGCGTGCGGTCGTCTCCGACGTGGCCGCTGTTCCGGCCTCCTGCTCGCAGGTACGTAAGGAGGGTGCCCCGCTCCTTGTGCTCTGTAATCACCCTCGAAGTGTGGCGATGCCGCGGAAGGTCTCGCCCTGACGGCCCTGGCGCGGGACGTCCTCGTGTGCTGGCTCAGGCTGGAGAGAGCCTGGCAGTGGCCCGTCACCCGCAGAGGGGATGGAGCGGGGCCCACTCGGGTCACGGCTCCCATGTCAGCTGGGGACGCAGTCGGCATTAATACCACGACAGCAGTCGCCCTTGTGATGTGAACAGCGACCCATTAGGAGTGGGGCTGAGACCTCCGCCTCTCTGCCCAGGGGGGATGCCAGATGCCAGTTAGTTGGTAGCTTTCAGTCCCTGCTATGCCCTACTGTGGACAAGAGCAAAGGGTCGGCTGGTGAGTGGCTCCATCTGTAGACGGCCCCCTGAGTCGGGTTGTCTCTCCAGCCTCAGTCACCCTTCAGGAGTCCCTGCTTTCATTTACCTTGGTGTCTCTCTCTAGGCAGCACCCAGGTCTGGACCAGTGGAACCGCTGAAGGACAGCGACTTGCAGGCCGCTTTGGAAGTGCTGCGGAGCTATGACTTGCACTGTGTCATAGAGGAATGGTTCATTCAAGTTTTACAGACAGATCTTCAGACAAATATAGCTCCTGAATTCTGGAACTGCATTGGCCAGTATGAAAACACAGCTGAGGAGCCCCAGTGCTCCTTACTCCTCCTGGATGCTTTTTGTCTGCTCAAGTGCCGCCTAGACCCTTATCTAAACAGTCTAGATCTTCTGGAAAAATGGACCAAAGCAGGCTTGCTCCTTGGAACGGGTTCCCAGATGCTACGAGAGAAAGTGTACACCATGTTTAAAGCCATCCTCTTCTTCTCCACTACAAAGACCTTCCAGGAGATGATCCAGCAGTTCTACAGCCGCACCTTCAGGATATATATGCAGCAGTGGAAGAAAGGAGAAGATGGAATGAATGAGTGTGAGAGCAGTATGAGTGAAAATGATCAAGAGAGTGATACAGAAGAGGGAGGAGGAGACAGCCAGCAGTGTGCAGGCTGCAACAGTAAAAAAGACCAGTGCTGGTGTCCCACAGCCATGGAGCAATTTCAGCAGCTCAGTGAGATCCTGTATGTATCCTGGAGGGAGGGAGGAAAGGGATTTGTTGGACAGAATCAATATACCATTCAGAAAGTAGACTGTCTACAGGCCTGTCATGGGTATGAAAGTCAGAAAGGTCCATTCTAACCTAGTCTGCTTCTTGCAAGGCATTGTCCAGAAAATCTTGCCCAGTGATTTCTGCATCCAGCCCATAACCTGTGGCTGAGCTACAGCAGATCTTTGACAAACAGGAGAGTGGTCCTGGTAACTGCTGTGAGATTATCACCTCCCTTTAGGCTTCTATTCCCTTTGGGGACAATGATTCTAGGCAAAATATTTTCTTTTCCCCAGATGCTAAAGATCTTGAACCTGCTGTTGTGGTTCAGTGGTTGAATCCTTGTCTGCCACACGAGAGACCTGGATTTGATTCTTGGATGCACCTATAACTACAGCTGTCGAGGCACCGAACGTCCAGACTGTCTGGCCTTTGGATACTGTCTCAATGAGCTACAGGGGGAATAGAAGGTCTGGGTACCCCCCACTTCTCCATACTTGTAGCCAAATGCATTGAAGGTCCTTGTGACCTCTTGCACATACACTGGGATCCAGAAGGGTCCACATTTGCCTACTAAAGATCTTGAAGAAATTGGCCAAATTTCAAAGTACTAAATACTGCACACATACCCCGCGTGTGCAGTGTGGCCTCGTTAATGCTTCTGTTGGGACCTTAATAAGAGGCACTACATAAGGCCTTAACAGGAGTTTAGAAAATCTTTGCTTGTTTTTCCATTAGAAAGCAGTTCTTATCTGCAGTGTGTTAGCTAGAGGATATTACAAGCAACTGGAGAGCTAGTGCGAATATAATCAGGGATACGGGTTTTCCGTTTCCCATGGAAAAACAGAAAAATGCAGGTTCCCCCTTTACCCAAGGAAAACATGGATTTTTCATTTTAATGGAGAAACCCACAGATTTTGCACTTTTGCAAAGAGCTCTCTGCAGGCTGGTAGAGTTCCAGCCTGCAAGGGGCTGGGGGGAGCAGCAGGAGGGTGCTCAGGCAGGGGGTGTCATGTGCATGTATACACACATGGCCACCAGGCAGCCTGGAGAGCTGCTCTGCAGGTATGCAGGTAAGTCTGGTAGCGGTGGGAGGGGTGGGATTGAAGCCCCCATAGGGAGGGGGGGAGTTGGCTGGGGCTGGGGCTGAAGCTGTTGCCCAGCCAGGAGGATGTGTGGGGTGTGTGGCCTGGGGTCAGAATGCGTAGCTTCAGGGTCCCGGCGAGGCCCGTGGGCACTTCGTTCAGGGGGTGGGGCCAGCTCCCCACCACTGTGCGCACTCCTTGCAGGACAGGGGGCACCCATGCCCCCCAGATCTGTGCTCAGGGTGGGGGGTTTGGGCAGGGGCGGGCTGCCTGCTGTGGGCTTGGGTTCCCCTGCCTTCTACCTATAACTACAGGTTCCCCACCCTGCTGCCCTCCCCTGGGACCTCCACAGCCCGGTGGGTGTGACCCAGCATGGCAGGGCAGAGCAGGGCCTCGTGGGGAAGTTCGTTGCTGCTGAGAGCTCCACGCTGCCCTGGCAAGGCATCCCTTGCCCGCATGGCAGCAAAGAGGGGTACAACCCTACACCACTGCCCTCGTTGCTGCCATGCAGGCAGGGGGTGCCTTGCCAGGGCAGCCCAGAGCTTGCAGCAGCAGTGAGCTTCCATGTGTAGCCCTGCTCTTTTTTGCCACACTGGGTCACACCTGCTGGGCTGCGGAGAGCCTGGGGGGGCAGTAGGGTGGGGAGCCCAAGCCTGCAGCAGGCAGCCCATCCCTGCCCCATGCACAGATCAGGGGGCACGAGTGAGCGCAGTGATGGGTAGCTGGCCCCACCCAAGCCCACAGCTGGCAGGGGAGGGGGTGTGCTCCGCTCCACTCCGCTGCAGCAGCTGCCACCTCCTGTGGGTGGCAGCTGGGGCTGTGGAGCTGCTGCAAGGGGCAGAGCGCTGCAGACCTGGACCCCTGGCCTTGTAACCCTGCCAGCTGGGGAGAGTGCAGGAACGAACCATCCCAATGTGCAGTGAGGGGCACCAGCAGGGCTGGGGGAGCTGTGGGGAGGAGTGAGGGGCACTAGCAAGGTCCAGCGGGCTGTGGGTGAGCATTGAGGAGCACCAGCAGGGCTGGGGGGCTGTGGCTTGGGAGTGAGGGGCCTGGACCTGTGTTCTGTGAGGTAAGGGGGCAGAGGGAGCTCTGATTTTCCGTGATAACCCAAAATCAAATACCAAAATTTATAGGTGTTTAGAACTTATTTAATTATAATGATTGAGGCACAGGTAGGCTTCCAAATTCCTTTAAATTATAAATATTATCAAGAAAGCATTGTGTTCAACTGATACCTCTCTCTCTCGCTCTCTCTCTCTCTATTAGTGCCCTTTCATTTTAATCGTGGAGTTTTAATAAGAAATTTTGCGGGTTTTTTATCAGACAATTTGCAGTTTTTTTTATTGGGGAAAACCAGGATCCCTGGATATAAAACAGCAAGCAAAAGTGGATCCTGAACTCTGGAAAGGTTCAGGGATTCCTATTCTGTTTAAAACCTCTGGCTTTTTATTTTTTCTATCAACTTTATACAAGCTCCAGATAGTCCCTTTGCTGAAAATCTAGCCCTCCTCTCTTTACTTGAGGGGTGAGAGCTATCTCTCTAGTTCTCCAATCCATCAGCATGGACTGGAAGCAATGGCTTATGATTTTGTATGTCCTGAAGATTACTCCTAAAGAATAAACCTGTTTATGCTCTTGCTTTGCAGGTGATGTTTGACTCCTAGGTTTTTTTTCCTTCTTGCATAGCTGCAATCTGGGGCCCAATAGTAGTATGTGCTTTGAACACGTAACACAAATAGCCGAAATTCAAATGTACCTGAAATAGTTAAACATTTAGCTCTTTACAATATCAAATGTTAGAAATAAATGAAATGTTTAAAGCTATGACTCCTTACTTCCTCTGCACTGCTTGAAAAATCTTTGAAAAAGCAGTGTGTTTGTAAGTTTTTGGAAAGGAGTTTCTTTCCTGCCTAGATCTTGCAAAATGCTTATGCTCTTTAATTAGTCCTAGCTGATTAATGATTGATGACATAAATTTGGGTCCAGTTGCCCCATTTTTATTTTTGCTTCCTATTGGATGACAATCCTCCCCAAATAGCCATCCTGCTGACTGAGAAAAACCAATTCTCTTCACAGACTAGAAGCCAGGTGATCCAGCTAGAAATGTACACCATGATGGTTGCCCTGAAGTAGACACACAGTTTTACCCTCTTCTAGGTGGGGATCATCTTCCCTTCTTCCCAGG